ACCAGGCTACCTCAAGAAACAAACCAAAGTACACATGGTGGAGAGTACCAAATATCACTACGAGTAAGGAAATAAAATAACCAAAGTCACAACAAGAGAGACCCAGGGACACCATTAGAAGAACACTTCCTGAATGGACAGCCCCTGGACAGTCTAGGAACCTCCTTTAATATAGAAGTATTCACAGGTGCAGTGCATATAACAAGCTTTTAAAACATACAAGAGACAGAAAACTAGCCAAAATGACAAAATGGAAGAACTCTCTCAAAACAAATTCCAGGAAGAAGTGACGGCTAAAGAAGTGGTCAAAACAGATATAAGCAACATAACTAACCAAGAATTTAGAACAATAGTCATAAAATTAATTGCTGGGCTTGAAAAAGGCATAGAAGACACCAGAGACGCTACTGCTACAAAGATCATGGGCCTTAAAAATAGTTATGATAAATTAAAAAATGCTATAAATGAGGTGCATCAAATGAGGTGGCCCCTGCATGGATGGAAGAGGCAGAGAGGAGAATAGGTGAATTCGAGGACACATTATAGAAAAAGAGGAAGCCGAGGAAAAGAGAAAGAAGTTGATCCAGGAGCTTGAAAGTAGAATTTGAGAACTCAGTGAGACAATCCAATGGAACAATGTCCCTATCATAGGAATTCCATAAGAAGGAGAGAAAGGGGCTGAAAGGGTCGTTGAACAAATTATAGCCAAGAACTTCCCCAATCTGGGGGAGGAAACAGACTCTGAAATCCAAGAGGCACAGAGAACTCCTCTTAGACGTACCTTGAATCGATCTTCTGCATGACATATCAGAGTGAAACTGGCAAAGTATAAGGATAAAGAGAGAATTCTGAAAGCAGCTAGGGATAAATGGGCCTTAAGATATAAAGGTAGACAGGGGCGCCTGGGTGGCTTAGTCGGTTAAGCGTCCGACTTTCTCTTAGGTCATGATCTCGCTGTTCGTGGGTTCGAGCCCCGCGTCTGGCTCTGTGCTGACTGCCAGCTCAGAGCCTGGAGCCTGTTTCAGATTCTGTGCCTCCCTCTCTCTCTGACCCTCCCCTGCTCACGCTGTCTCTCTCTCTCCTGGAAATAAATAAAACATTAAAAAATTAAAAAAAATATAAAGGTAGACACATCAGGGTAGTAGCAGATCTATCTAATGAAACTTGGCAGGCCAGAAAGGAATGGCAGGAAATCTTCAATGTGATGAACAGGAAAAATATGCAGCCAAGAATCCTCTATCCAGCAAGCCGGTCATTAAGAAGAGGAGGAGAGACTTTGCTGTCTACAAGAAATTCATTTTAGACCTCAGGATACCTTCAGATTGAAAGTAAGGAGATGGAGAAATATCTATCTGCTACTGGAAATCAAAAAAAAGGTGGAGTGGCCATACTTATATTGGACAAACTGGACTTTAAAGTAAAGGCAGTAACATGAGATGAAGAAGGGCATTATATAATAATTACAGGGTCTATCCATCAGAAAGAGCTAACAATTATAAATGTCTCTGCACCAAATTCAGAAGCACCCAAATACATAAAACAATCACAAACATAAGCAATCTTATTGATAAGAACATGCTAATTGCAGGAGACCTTAATACTCCACTTACAGCAATGGATAGATCAACTGGACAGAAAAATCACTAAAGAAACAATGGACCTGAATAACAGGGGGAGGATCTAGCCCTCTCCCTAACCTTCCTCCCAACCCTCCCCATAACCCTACCCCAAACCCTAACTCCTAACCCTAACCCCAAACCCCTACCCAACCCCAACCTTACCACTAAACCCTAAACCTTAAATCCTAACCTTACTCCCTCACCCCTAACAGCTAACCTTCACTCCTAGCTTTAACCTCTAACTGTAACCCTATCACTAAACCCTAAACTCTAAATCCTTACCCTAAGCCCTGACCCCAACCCCTAACCCAACCCCATACTTCTAACCATAAGCTAACCTTAACCCATAACCCAAAAACCATAACCCCTTACTCCGAACCCCAACCCTAAACCGAAACTTACCCTAATCCAACACTAATCCTGATCGCCCAACCCATAATCCCTAACACTGTCCCTAACTCATATGCTAACCCCAACAACTAAATCCTAACCCCTAACACTATACCTAACCTCCCTAAGCCTAATCCTAATCCCTAATCCCTAACCCAAACACCAACCCCAACTCCTAACCCTAACCCAAACCGAAACACTAGAACCCTAACCTTATAACCCTATCCTGCTAACCCTAACCCTCTAAACCTAACACCATCCCCTAACCCTATCCCATAACCCCTCACTATCTTACTCCTAACCTGAACCCTTATCCTCTAACCCTAACCCTCTAATCATAACCCTAACCGCAACCTCTAACCCTAACCACTAATCCTTAACTATGTGACTCCTAACCAAACCCTAACCCTGAACACTGCTAAAAGAAATTAAAGACAATATAAAGTGTACTATTGCTGAATGCCAATAGCACACAATGCAACGTGAAGTTTCAATGTGATTCCCAGGAAAATTCACAAAATCCTCTGAGAAGAAATGCACAAGCTAATCCTAACCATCATGGAAAATCAAGGGACCACAAAATAAACAAAAAATGGAAAAAATCCAAGTAGAAGCTCATACTTCCCAATTTCAAATATCAAAACAAAGCAACAGTAAAATAAAACATTATGATACTGTCATAAAGATATACGTGAAGATCAGTGGGATTTCATTGAGAACCCGTTCCCTGAAATAAATCCTTTCATTTATGGTTAACTGAATTTTGACAAGGGTGGACAGCATGACATTGGGGAAACAATGGTCTTTTCAACAAAGGGCGCTAGATGATTGTCTATCCATGTGCAGAGGAATGAAATTGGACCCTTACCGTCACACCACAAACATTAACTCAAAATGGATCTAAAACTTAAATGTAAGAGGTAAACTTGTAAACTCTAGAAGATATAAATGGACATAAATCTTCATGAGCACTGAGTTTAACAATGCTGTTAGGGCTGACACCAAAGTATAAGCAAGGAAAGAAAAATAGATAATTTTAGTTTCCTCAACATCAAAAACCTTTGTACCTCAAAAGCTGCTATTCCTTTTTTTTTTTTTAATGTTTTATTTATTTCTAGGAGACAGAGAGAGAGACAGCGTGAGCAGGGGAGGGTCAGAGAGAGAGGGAATCACAGACTGAAACAGGCTCCAGGCTCTGAGCTGGCAGTCAGCACAGAGCCCGACGCGGGCCTCGAACCCACGAACCGCGAGACCATGACCTAAGCGAAAGTCGGACGCTTAACCGACTAAGCCACCCAGGCGCCCCTAAAAGCTGCTATTCCAAAAGTGAAAAGACAATGCCTAGAATGAAAGAAAATATTTGCACATTATTTGTCTGGTAGGAGTCTGTTTTAGAGAATACATAAAGAGCTTGTACGACTCATTGACAACAACAACAAAAAACCCCATGATTAAAGGAGTTGGATATACTTTCCCAAGAGAGATCATATGTATAGACATGAAAAGACATGAAATAGACATGAAAAGATGTTAAACATCAGTAATCCTTATGGAAATGGAGATTTAAAACACAGTTAGATACCCGTTTACATTCACGAAAATTGCTATAACATAGAAAACTACAAATGATGGCAAACATGTGGAGAAATCGGAACCCTTAAACCTGCCTGTGGAAATGTAAAATGGTGGAGCCTATGTGTAAAATAGTTTGGGATTTCTTCAGAAAGAGAAAAACACAGAATGATCATTTGGCTCCACAATTCTACTCCTAGATGTCTGTCCCAAAGAATTGAAATAGTTGTTTAAAAAAAGAGCACATGCACAAGCATACACAGCAGCACTGTTCACAATAGCCAAATGATAGAAAAACTATGCAAATGCCCATCGGTGGGTGAATGGAGAAACACACTGGGCCGACCCATAAACAACAATACTACTCTGCCATGTAAAGGAATCAAGGAAAACGGTGCGGCTGCAGAGCACAGGGTGGCAGTTCCTCAGAAAGTGCGCACAGAACTCCCCCCCTGCACACACACACCCGGAAGCTGAAAGCAAAGCCTTGAGCGGATACTCACGTTCCCTAAGTCATAGCAGCTTCTTCACAGTGGCCAAGGGACGGAAGCAACCCAGTGACTGCCGACTGATGGACAAATACACAAATTGGGGTCTGCACACAACGGAATAGGCTCAGCCTTACAAAGGGCGGGAATTCTGACACTCGCTGCAACACGGATTGAACCTCGCAGTCATTATGCTGAGTGAAATACGCCAGGCAAAGGAGGACAAATACTCTCCTTTTCCCAAGTAAACCTATTTTTCCTGGTAGAAGCTGGACGTGTCATATTGAAGGTAAATAGAAGTAGTAAGTGCGTACACTCGCAGGACACGTCACGGACACAAAAACCCCACGTGCATATCTACACACGCATGACGACCCATCGGAAAGAGACACGAAGAGACGGACCCGCTGACACCTGCGTCAGAAGGAACCACGTGCCCGGGAGGGACTCTGAGCGAGGGGGGGACGGACCTGCTCTGAGGACGACAGGACGCTGGGGACAGAAACACAGGGAGACGCGCGTGGACGGAACGCCACTCTGGGCTCCGTCCTGTGACGACGTCCGTCCTTCCAGGGGCGGTGTGCACATCCGGGGCCGTCGGCTCAGACCTCCCCACGACGCCGGGTCACACACGCTAACCCTAACAGACACCCCGACCCGCGCATGGAGACAGAGGGGTAGGGGGACGGCGCGCGGCCACAGCGGCGGGAGCGCGAGCACCGCCCGGGCACCTGCTCCCGAACCGCGAACCGCGTGAGGACGCGGCGGGAACGGAGTCGGCGCGGAGCACACACCCCGACGCGAGGCCCCGCGGCTCCGGAGCCCGGAGCGGGAGCACGTACCCTAACCCTTCCTCTGCCGGGTCCCCTGAACACCCCCCCGCTCAGCGGTGTTTGCCCCTCCCCCCACCTCCGCCTCGCTTTCTCCTCACCTGCTCCCCCGCGGCGGGGCCTGAGGAGACCCTGCTTTTGTCCCTGTGGACTCGGCCCCACACCCTCCACAGCGGGTCCTGAGGAGGCGGGGCTCCTTCCAGCGTGGACGCGGCCACACGTCCCCCAGAAGCTTTCGCAGGGGGTCCTGCATACACCCGGTTCCTGTCCCTGTGGCCGCGGCCCCACCTCCTCCGTATCCCCCACAGCGGGTCCAGAGGAAGCAGAGGTACCCTTTTTGCCAGAGGCGTGCTGAGTGCGCGTGCGCACGCTGGCGTCGGGGATCGGCGCTCCGGCGCCCCCTGCAGGCGGTGGCGGTAGTGCAGGACACACTGGGCTAACTGGTCGGTGGAGGCAGCGCCTCCTTCTGGCCGCCATCCAGGAAACGGCTGATTTAAAATTAAAAAAAAAATGTTTCCTTATTTGGGGGAGAGCCAGAGAAAGAATACAAGTTGGGAAAGGGCAGAGAGAGAGGGAAACACAGATTCTGAAGCAGGCTCAAAGTTCCCAGCCGACAGCACTGAGCCCAACCTGGGCTCAAACACAAAAGGGGAGCCCGACACGGAGCTCCAACTCTGAAAGCATAAGACCCCACGCGGGGCTCGAACACGCACACCATGGGAGCCCAACGGCAGGCTCGAACTCTCAAACCGGGAGGGCCCAACGCCAGGCTCCAACTCCAAGAGCATGGGGCTCCACGCAGAGCGTGAACAGGCACACCTCGGGAGCCCCACTTGGGCCTGGAGCTCGCCCAAAGCTGGAACCCGACTTGCGGTTCAAAATCGCACACCTGTAAGCCCCACGCGGGGCTCAAACACGCACACCTAGCTATCCCCACGTGGGGCTCTAGCTTGCACACCACTCGAGCCCGAAGTGGGGCTCGAACTTACAGTCGGCAGGAGCCGGATCCGTGGCTCCAACTGGCACACCCGGGGAGCCCTATGTGAAGCTTGAGCGCTCAGGCCTTGAATGTCCCACTCAGGGCTTGCACTCGCACACTGAATGATCCCTACATGGGGCTCGAACTCACAGAAGGTAGGAGCCTGACTCGGGGCTCGAACTTGCACATTAGGGGAGCCCGACACGGGGCTCGAACTTTCAATGGTAGGAGCAAATGCAGGGCTCGAACTCTCACAGTAACATCTGATTTAATAAGGACATCATCTCTCCACCAACGGTAGGGGTATGCAAGAGCCACACCAAGCCACCGTGGGGGTGGAGGGGTGCAAGCGTTGACACCCCTCCATCGATGATGGGGGCTGCCTGCATGTTTGAACAGAGGGTGACCCCATCATTGATGTGGTGTTGGAGGCGTGACACCCCTCCATCGTTGATGAACGGGTTCCCCCTTTGTTGATTGGGGATGCAGGCATGACACCCAACCATTATCGACATGCGGTGCCCCAGCATCGATATGGGGTGCCCCATGATCGATATGGGGGGTGCAGGCATGACACCATCCATGGTCAAAGGAGGGTGACTATCTCATCGATGGTGTGGTGTCCCTTCATCGATGTGGGTGTGTAGGCGTGACACCCCTCCATCGTTGATGGTGAGGTGCCCCTTCGTCAATGTGGGGGTGAAGGCTTGACAGCCCTCTATCGTCAATGGGGGTGTGCCTCCATCAACGATGGTGGTGTGCCCCTTTTTCAATGGTGAGTGTGTCACCCCACCTTATCGATGGTGAGGTGCCTCCATTATCGATTGTGAGGTGCCTCCATCCTCGAGTGGGGGTGCCCCTTCGTCGATGGGGGATGCATACGTGACACCCTCCGATCACTAATTGGGTGTCTCCATCATCAATGAGGGAGTACCTCTTCGTCGATTTCGGGGTTCAGGCATGACATCCATCCATTGTCGATGAGGCAGTAACTCTGTCATCAGTGGTGGGATGACCTGATCGTTGGTGGGGTGCAACTGTGACACTCATCCGTCATCGATCAGGGAATGCCTCCTTGATCGATGAGGAGGTGTAAGATTGACACCCTTCCATCCTCAATTGGGGGGAGCCTCCATCATCGAATGGGGGTTCCCTCTTCATTGATGTGGGTTATAGGCCTGACACCACTCCATGGTCTCTGTGGGGGTGGCCCAATCATCAAGAGGGGAATGCAAGCATTGACACCCCTCCACCGTTGGCAGGTGGGTGTGGAGTACGAGCATGACACCCCTCCCACTGTCTGTGGGGAGTGTCTCTATCACCGATAGGGATTGCCCTGATCTTTGATTTGGGGGTGCAGGGGTGGCACCCCTCCAACTTTGTCCTGTAGGTGTCCTCATTGTTAATGGTGGGGGTGCAGGCGAGACACCTGACCATGGTCGATGTGGGGTTGCCCCTTCATCGATGGGGGGTTTAAGCATGACTCCCCTGCCTGGAACATGGGGTGCTACATCCATCATCGATGGAGAGTGCCTCCATCATTGATGGTGGCATGCACCTTCTTCTATGTGGGGGGGGGTGTGCAGGCGTGACACCCCTCAATCATCGACCAGGGGGTGCCCCTTCTTCGATGGGGGTTGCAGGCTTGGCACCCTTCCATTGTTTTCAATGGCAGTGCCCTCCATCGTTGATCGTGAAGTCCCATTCATCGATTTGGGGCTGCAGGAGTGACACCCCTCCATGGTGGCTAGGGGGATTCCTCCACCTTCGATGGGAGAGTGCCCCAGCATCAATTGTGGATTGCCCCTTCATCTATATGGGTGTGCAGGCCTGACACCCCTCCATCGTCAATAAAGGGGGTGCTCCTGGGTCGATAACTTCAATGGGGGGTGTGTCCATCATCGAAGGGGGATGTCCCCATCTGCCTAGGGGCAGTGCCCCCTTCATCAATGGGTGCTGCAGGTGTGACATCCCTCCATCATCAAAGGGGGGGTGCCTCCATCATTGATAGGAGGTGCCACCAGCATCAATGATGTGGTGCCCCTTTGTCGATGTGGGTGGCAGGCATGACTGTCCTCCATCGCCAAGGGGGGATGTACCATCATCAATGGGGGGCTGCCCCCCATCATCGAAGTTTTGCTGCCCCCTTCGTCGATGGGGGCATGACACCCCTCCATCGTCAATGGGGGCTCCTCCATCATCAATTTCGGGTTCTCACATCGTCGATTGGGGGATGCTCCTTTGCCGAAGGGGGGTCTGTAAGTGATACCTCCCATCAATGGGGTGGTGTCCATTGTCAATGGGGGGATGCCCCTTTGTCGATTTGGGGGTGTAGGCACTTTGGTTAAGTGTCCAACTCTTGATTTCAACTTGGGTCATGGTATCATGGTCATGGAATGAAGCCCTGCATTGGGCTCCTTGCTGAGCATGGAGCCTGCTTGGGATTCTCTCTCCCTCTCTCACTGCCCCTCCCTTTCTCATGCTCACTCTCTCTCAAAATAAATAAGTAATAAAACCATTGTTAAAAATGTTTAAAATCCTTCTGTTGGGGAGGATGTGGAGAAAAAGGAACCCTTATCCCACACTCACTGTTGGTGGGAATGCAAGCTGGTGCAGCCACTGTGGAAGACAGTATGGAGGTTCCTCAAAAAAGTACAAATAAAGCTACCTCATGATCCAATAATCCCACTTTGGAGTGCCCAAAGAACACAAAAGACACTAACTCCAAAAGATATATGCGTCCTTATGTTTATTGCAGCATTATTTAAAACAGCCAAGATATGGAAGCAATTCGAATATCCATCCATAGACAATGGGATAAAGTATAGGATGGAATATCACTCAGCCATAAAAAATGAAATATTGCCATTTGAAACACGGATGGACCCATAGGGTATAAAGTTAAGTGAAAGAAGTCAGAGAAAGAAATACCATAAGATTTCACTCCTATGTGGAATTTAAGAAAGAAAACAAATGAACCTAGATGAGAAGAGAAACAAAAGATTCTTAAATATATAGAATGGATGGTCACCAGAAGGCGGGGGGAGGGATAAAATAGGTGAGGGGAATTAAGAGAACACTTAACATGGTGAGCACTGAGTAATGTAAAGCAAAGCTGAACCATTGCACAACTGACACTCATCTAACACTAAGTAAATTACACTTGAGTAAAAAAGAAATGATCCAAGCTGAAACAGAGAGAAAAATTAAACACCTCGGTGACCCATGGTAGAGTATCAAGCTGTCTAACATACGTGCAATGGGAGTGTCAGAGGAGAACAAAGATGCAGGAAGGCTTTCATTCTACAGCAGGGCTCAGGTGGAGACATATACCTTGAGGTGAAATTTGTGAATTGATTGAAGTCTTTATTTTAAGTTAAAAAGATACAATAAAGTAAAGCCAAAGCCAGCAAGAGAAGGAAACAAAAATGGAAGTCATTTAAACAGAAAACATCATAGGGAAAGAGTTTTAAGTTGATTCTGTGAAAAAGTTAACATTCATATGCTACTAGCTTAGAAGGATTAACAGTGTAAAGGGAATATTATGAAAGAAACATATCACTACAGTCTTATAGACATTAAAAATCATATTATGAACAGTTGTTTCAATAAGTTTGACAATTATTTTAAAAGTCAATACATTCCTGGAATGTAAGAAATCATCAAAACTGACCAGGAAGAAATGTAAAGTCTGAAGACATGTTTTATGTATTAAAGTAATTGAATGCATAATTTAAAAGCATCCCATGAAGAAAACTTCAGGCCAAGAAGGCTTTCCTGGTGAACTCTATCCATCGTTTAAGGAATTTTATCACACAAAAAGGATGCTACAGCAACTCATTCATGAAAGAATATTCCCAACTCATGTTAAGAAGCCAGCATCATCCCAACACAAAACCAAGCAAAGACATTACAAGAAACTGACATGGCAGACCACTACTTCTCGGGAACACATACACAAACATTCTCAACAAAATATTCAGAAAATTTAATCTTGCAATCAGGTGAAGTTTGATCCTGGAATGCGATATTGGTTTAACACCTGGAAATTAACACAATTCACCATATTAAGAGATAAAGGCGTAAGACCACAGAATGGTTTCAATAGATGCAGAAAAAGCTTCGAAAAAAGATGAAGATACACTTATGACAACTCTCAGAAAACCTGATAAAATGTACCCACAAAATCCTACAGCTATCATAATAGTGAAAAGATTGTACCCTAACATTGGGAATAAGGAAAAGACGTCTGTTCTGGCCAGTTGTATTTAACATTTTACTAGAGGTAGTAGCTAATGTGATGAAAAGAGAAGTACTTCCAAGTGACAGAAGTTAGCAAGAGCTAAGACTTTATTTATAAGTTATGAGAATTGTGTGTGTAAAAACTCCTAAGCAATCTACCAAAAACTGAACAAAGCCTAGCTAAGATCTAATATCAAATTTAGCAACACTGCAGGGTAGGAGGCCAACAGACAAAAATCCATTTTTTCTATGATAT